GTATGGTGCTGAAGAAAGGGTTTCATGAGATACTAACAGTCTCTGGTACAAGAGAGCCTGTCATTATAAAGATTGTAAGCATACTTAGAACTGAAATTATGTTTGGGGTTAGATTTTCCAGGGGAAACTTCCAAATTCTTATTACTGCCTTAGGGTCTATTTTATGAAATGCTTAAGATGATAGTGTGAGCTTTTAACTAATGGCAGGAAGCTTATTTCCTTCTGCTTTAAACATTCAAAGTGCTGTATTTGGTTCTATACGTAGTGATATATACCATTATGAAAAAAATATTGCTATGTATCAAAATTTAAAAAATAATTTTCTTAAAAGAACTTTGCCAATAATCATGCATGTGAAAGTCTTGAAACACGATAGACTCATTTGATCCATCACTATAATCAAAAGGAGTTCATTTCAAATGGTTAAACATGGAGTTAACCATTTATATATTTTGGTGAATATCCCATGTCAGCTCTTCAGTCAGACGTGGAAATGCTTGCTCTAGCTTCTGTGGTCGGTGTAGACTTGATATACTTCACCACTCATAGAAAAATACGACACCATCTCAATTCATTCTTTGTAGGGAATTAGCTATGCATTCCTGAAAGGCATTGTTGTATAGTTAAAAGTTTGATTTCATCTTCACATCTTCAATAAAAGGTCTGTGAATAATTTTGTTTTTCTCTTATCTATTATATGTTTATAACAATTGACACCTTTTCAATGAGTGCTAGGTTACTTAAGAATTTACTGGTGCAGTGTTATTAAAGAAAAGTCTCTTATCATACAGCCCAATAGTTGTCTCAAATGGCCTTGAGATTTCAGGAGTATCATTTTAGTTGTTTTAATATGTTCAGAATTCATATATCAGGAGAATGTCAACATTCTTTACTTGATTATGAAATATCACTAGTTTTTTTGTCAGTATTTACGTCACTCAATTGTCCGTCTTACTAAGAAACATATTCATTTTTTCTTCATACTTCTATTCACTTTACCTTGATCTATATGTTATTGCATGCATTTTCAAGTGATTCAATTTGGTTTAAAGAGACTTCTCAGAGTAAGGGGAGAGACTTACTAATGCATTTCCAAATGTACCTGCTTATTTCCCCCTTCAGAATGGTGTGTTATTGTGCTGCAATATGAAACCAGAGTTCATGTTTAACAATAAAATTATTTGTTGCTGTTGTCATTTAAAAACAGAAAACAGTTCATGACAAATATCTTTTACAATATGCTGTTTTGTACTGGACCTAAGCTTGAAAAGAAACAACACAAATTTTTTTGTTGTTATGTCAAATGTCATGCATGGGTTTTAGGAGTCATTCTGTAATGACTCTGCTCCAGGGAGGTTGTTGAGGGAATATCCTTCTTATTACTGTAAGGCCCTGCTTGGAGTGGTTTCATAAGGATAACTCACAACTAAAATATCTTTTTTTTTCTGTACTGGGGGTTGTTTCCAGGGCCTTGCACATGCCAGGCAGGTGCTCTGCTACTGAACTACCCCCCTAAAATGTTTTTCTTGCAAACAAAATAAACAATAAACACATTGCAGTATTTATTACATTGTCTTCAATGCTTACATTTCCAATGAATGTAATATAGAAACTCTACCACATTTAATATTATGAATCTTGGTTCCATAGTCTCCTAATGCCAAGGTTAGCCTCTAAGAGTATAATGAAATTCTGATGGAATTCTTCTATAAAATTAAATTCCTTATTAAAAATATGTAATGAAGTTGTATTTTTAGGAAGAAATAGCACACATTTTTTCCTGTTCATTTAGATTTCATGAAGATTTATGATGAACCTTTACATTCTGTGTTGTTTTCTGAGAAATAATCTCTATAGGACCCAAACAAAATACTTATTTTATTATCACTCTAAAGTAAATGAAAATTGACTATTAAGGATGATATTTTTTAGCTCAAGGTAATTTTATGGAAATAATATGCATTTTACAGATGTGAAAGCCATTTTTATAATTAATGTAGGATATCATGAATACAAGCTAATTTTAAATACATCTCAAAGCATAAAAATATCTGAGAAGCAAACACTAAATGATGTATATTTGAGTACTTAGATAAAAATTGGTACAGGTCTTTTGTCCTCTCAGGTGAATGCATGAAGATGGAACCCTAACCCTAAGTTTCCCTGGTGTGAATAATCTGCAATAATACATAAGATCCTAATAAGATTACTGACATTTAGAAATGGGAAGAAAGGAGCTACAGGTGTAGGGAAGGTGGGATGGGTAGGAGAAGGGTAATAAGGGAAAAGAAAAAAATGTGAGATAATGAAAAGATGAAAATAAAGTGTTTGTAGATGGGGAGGGGAGGAGGGGGTGAAGGGAGGGCAGGGGTAAGGGGAAAAAATGAGAATCAAGACTTGTCATGTAGAGGTACAAGACCCCAACAATGAATGTAACTGTACTGTATCCCTAAAATGTACCAATAAACTCAATCAAAGCTGAAAAAAAATAGGGAAAATAGACACTGACTAAACAAAAAGTAAAAACACCAGTGTCTACTGCACCTCCCCACTAGAATCATGCAAAGTTTTAACCAGGAACTACTTTGTGTAACATTTTGAATACATTCATTTTACAGGTGAGTTAGTTGAGCCCAAGAAAGATTAAATATTTAAGATTAAAAAATGTGGTATATATCTGCCATTAGAGCCCCCCGCAAAAGAAATGCTTCCTGGTACGACAAATTTAAAGGAAGTATAACTTTGCTCTGAGAAGCATTTAAAAATTTTTTTTCAGAAAAATGACATAAAGATACTGTTATTTTGAGCAATATCACCCTTTAAAATTATGTTTCTGAATCTCAACTATTTCCAAATACCTCCTTAATAGTTCTAATTGACCTGGAGTCCCTAAAGTTTGAGTAACTTATAACTGTAATTTACAAAATGATTTGAGGCCTTTAAGACTGATGATAATGTTCAGTGGGAAATTAAATTCTAGTTTTATCTTTTTAGATTATTTTATATAATTTATTTATAGTGGGAGTGTTATGATTATTTGTTGCCATCGTCAGATTCATTTACCTTATAAATCCTTATAAAGTTAATTATGATACAGATTAACAGCGAGATTAACATTCCAAAAAACATAACACATAAGACAATTATAATAAAACAAAGCATACTTTTAGATACATTGTCCATGCTGGATTACAATAACTTTTCTCTCTTTTTTCATATTATCATCTTTTATTTTGCATTTTATTTATATATTGTTTTTCATATAAGATAAATTATGCAATATTTAAATGTGTGTGTGATTTACTTCACTTAATATTATGGTTTTAGGGTGCATCCATTCTTCTACAAGTGATCTAAGTGGATTTTTCCTTATGACAGAGTACGTATAAATACCACATTTTCTTTATCTATTCATCTATCAATGGACATATAGGCTGCTCCCAAGATTGAGCTATTATGACTTGTGCTGCTACAAACATGGATATGGATATATCACTCTGGTATGATGTCTTTAATTTGGGGGGGAAATACCTAGAAGGGGAATAGCTGGGTAAAATGGAATTTCTATTTTTAGATGTTTGAGGGATGTCCATATTGATTTCCATGGTGGTGGTACCAGTTTACAATCCTACCAACAATGAAGAAGTGTTCTTTCCCTGCCCTCAGCCTCTCTAGCATTTGTTATTGCTTAATTTCCGTAGGAGGGCTATACTTTCTGGAGTGAGATGGAATCTCAGTGTTGTTTTAATTTACATATCTCTAGTGATTGAACATTTCTTCATGCGTTTATTGGCTATTTGTTTTTCTTCAAATGATTAGTATAGAGAATTTTAAAACAAATTCATAGTATATAAAGATTACAGAGCTTTGAAAGTCTATGCAGAAATTTTTCTAAAATTATTGATGTATTGAAATTCAATGAGCTGATTCATTAGAGTATCTTATAAAATTCCATTTAATCAGAGCTTTTAATTGACATTCATGAGCATGAACAAAGCAAAGTAAGAGTTCCTACAAGTAGCAATAGATATTATTACCCAGTGAAACATGTTTCTTATCCCTTGATTAGTCTGGGGCCAAAGAAGGTGGTGAAAATCCTTTACTAATGAGTTTATCAAAAAGTATGTTTTCATGGTGTGCATTAAAATTTATATTTTAAATTCAGTGCCAGTAGATTAGGGTACTTCCTTTTTCTCCTGGCATTTCCTGGGAACCGAATTCAGGACCTTTTCACTGAAGTGTATCTTCAGTTCCTTTAATTTTTTTTTTTTTTTAATTTTGAGACTGGATTTCACTAAGTAGCTAACTTCAAGCTTGGATTTGAACTTGTGATATGCCTTATGTCAGCCCTTCAGAGATTTGGGATTACACATGTGTGCCTCCATACCCAGCTCAATTAAGGCATTTGTTGATGTACATATTTTGTAATGTAATTACCTACTCTGAATAGAAACACCTTAATTCTGTTTATGTGTATGCATGCCAGGAATGTGAATTGTGACCTCTTACAATTGGAGATCAGTGCTCATAATCAATATAAAGTGCTAATCTACCAAAAATATGAAGCTAAATGATACTAAAACACACCTTTGTGAAGAAAATATGTTGGTGTATAATTATTTGTTTTCCTCAGTTTTCCAGGCTTCAGATAGCAAATAAATACATGAATGTACATAATTAGCGGTACATCAGACATCCCATATCAGCCAGTCAAGCAGATGTACAGTCTGCTGTACAGGTGTACAGTCATGAAACTCTTTATAACAATTTATTAAAGTTATCATTAGAGATCAATGATTTTTGAAATCATACAGTCTTTTTCTAATGCCAGTAATTTTAAGCTACTAACTACATGATGCTGTGTCAAAATATGCCAGGTATGATCTTCCTGGTCCAAAACTAAGAATTTGCCTTTCTTTTCAACTTATTGATTACAAAAATGGGATCATTTTTAGTTTTGCGGGGGATGTTGATGAATGCAATTTTGGGGCAGCTCTTACCGTAATTGCAGGTCCAGCAAAAGCCAGGCTGAGCAACATGAGGAACGGAATGGCCTCCTGGGTGGGCTCAATGTATGGCATGCTAAGGCTCCGGTCATAGCAGCTAAATCCAGAGTGTACAGGTTTGAAGACATCAGTGAGTTCAAGGAAGTAGAGGCTAACCACTGATGATGCCAGTATAGGTAACTGAGAATGAAGGAGAGAGATCAATGCATTCTTATAAACAGGACATGCACAGCATCAGTACATCTTGAAATAGGCAAGAGGTGGATTTCTCCCCTTCTCTCTGACTCCTCACTGTTCCAGAGTCAGAATCATTCAGAAGTGCTTTGGTTTTTGCTTTCAAAATATGAATATATCTGCTCTGGTCGCCAGGCTGCTATGAGCCTATGGTATCCTACACCCTTGACTGCTGCTTCTCTTTCTTTTGACCCCATCCATCCATTTTCCTCACATGTCCCAAATACGGCAGCTCACAGCGCTCCCTATTTTACCACTTTGGTAGTTTCCATTCTACTTAAATAAAAGCCAGATGTTATACCATTGACTGGAACTTTCTGTCTGATTTGGCTCTTGCTTCAGTTTCTTACTCTTCTTATACAAGTTCTCCCCTCCTCAACTACCTGCTCATTTCAACGAAACTGGTCTTCACTCCTGTCCTGTGCCAGTCACAGTCACTTCTGCCAAGACCCTTTGCACTTACAGTTCTTTCTTCCTTTCATGTCCTTTCCCTGGCTCATTACACAATTGATTTCTTTTCATCATTTAATGATGTTGTCCTTCATGTCTACCTATGGTGCCTTCCATATATCCTTGATCTTATAATTTTGCTTGATTTTCTTCATGGGACCTTTCATGAACTGAAAGTATCTTGCCAACTCAATATTTCACTTATTTTTCATCTTCCTTACTCATTCCCTAAAATAAAAGTTCCATGAAGTGAAAACCTGCCAGTAATTTTTTTTTTGTTTTTTTTTTGTACCAGGGATGAAACTCAGGTCCTTGAGTTTGCAAGGCAGGTGGCAGAACCACTGAGTCAAATCCCCATCCCTGCCAATAATATTTACTGGTGAATCTAAAGGTCACAGAATTGTGTCTAGCACACAGTACACATGCAGTGTAATATTTAATAATTTAATGAAATAAAAAGTTGTTGATAAATGACTAATGAAATAGATGTGTAAACTTCAGTTTATTACTAAACTAGTTTAGAGTTACCATATTCACCAAATAAGAATACAGGTCACTCAATGATATAAAGACTGCAAATAGGAAAGAATAATCTTAAGAATAAGTATTTCCCAAGCAACATTTGGGATATAACAATTACTTAATGTTTATCTGAGATTCTAATTTCACTGGCGATATGTTGGTATGATCATCTAAATTAGGTACAATATACTTTATAGCCTTTGTGTAGATTTGTGAATTGAATTGTTCACTCAAGCTACAATGAATGAGGCACTATGCAGATGCTATCTATAACATAGATAGGACATAGACTTGGCCATCAAAGAGCATAGCTTACTGGGACACCTGCTGTCAACAAAAGAGAAAATACTTGAATCCTTTGCTTAATGTCAGATCTCTCAGAATCCCAAAGTGTAGACTTATATAGCACTGAAAAAAATTTTTAGTTAGCTTTATTTGTAGACGATACAATGTGTACTTGATGAAATAGGAAAGATAAAGATAAAGACATTATTGGCCACCCATTATGTTTAGTTGTTTAAGAAATAAATTCATAAGATAATATTATATTGTCTTTCCGTACGAGATCTTTCTGTAATAAGTTGAGCATTTGGGGGGGGCAAAATTAGTAATGTCAAGCTTTTCAGCATTTCAACTGGATGTTTTCCAGAAAACAAAAGTGCATTAATAAAATCTTTCTATTTTTTTGTATGCATGATTATTTGATCATGCAGAATATCTGATTATTTTTCCTCTCCTCTTTTTTTGTAATATCAGAATAGTAGCTTTCAGTCATGACTAACAAATCAGTATTTCATGGTACTGGCATATGTTTGAAAGCTCCACTTAAATCTATATAAATATATTTTAATTTAACAAATACTTCATGAAGTACTTGTTATCTCTCAGGAAATATTGTTCACACTTTTTAATCAATTGGATTCATTAATTTTAAACTCATTTATAATAAAACTTTCTATTGGGATAGAAATTAGGGGCTGCAACTACCTTCATTTTGGAAGTGCTAAGCAGTCACTGATAGTAAATGGCAGATGTGGACTTTAAAGTCCTGAGTTTTAGTTTCAAAGTCTTATGTTTTAGGGAATAGCAGGTAAAGATAATGAGATCCAAATAACATCAATTAATAGGGATAGAATTTAGTTGAAAGTTGCTTAGCTACAATTTTCTATTTGTAAATTCTTAAAAATATGTGTCACAGAGTATAAAGAGACATTGTGAAAATAATGTGAAATAGGAAGAAAAGGGCTAAAGGTGTAGGCAAAGTGGGAAGGGTAGGGGAAAAGAAATAAGGGAAAATGTGAGAAAATGAAAAAATGGAAATAAAGTGTTTGTAAATGGGGAGGGGAGGAGGGGGTGAAGGGAGGGCAGGGACAAGGGGAAAAAATGAGAACCAAGACCTGTCATGTAAAGGTACAAGATCCCAATAATGAACTCAATTAAAAAAAAGATTATATATATATGATCGAACTTGGGCCCTTGTGCTTACAAGGCAGGTGGCGGAACCACTGAGCCAAATCCCCGGCTCAAGAGACATTATTTTAAGTATATGGTTTCTATAATTCCAGAAAGGTTAAATATTTCACTTACAAACCAAATTACATAATTCATTATCTTTCCTTTTTCCCAGATATCTTTTCAAGTTTTGTATATGCATTTTCTAAGTAGGAATCAGATCTGAGATCTTCAATGCCCACACAAATAACATCTGATAGTCTAATTTTTAAATGTTCATGCCCCATTAAGGTGAATATGGTATCTTCTGCAGAAAGGTGAGTAAAATTTTCTCAACATAACAAATATGGAAATAAATTACATCTTCCTTAGTAGAGGCAATTAGATTTTGTGGGCGATTACTTTATAATCTGTTTAAGTGTGCAAGTGAAGATATTACCAAAGGACAAAAGTGCTGTTCTTAATGTGTGTGTGTGTGTGTGTTTGTGTGTGTGTGTGTGTGAGAGAGAGAGAGAGAGAGAGAGAGACAGAGAGAGAGATAGCTACATACACATAAAAAATGAGAGCACAAAATTTTATTACTATAGTAAAACCATTGGAGGCATACAGAATTTGAGGCACTAAGACTTTCTATTACCAGTGCTTTCACTACTATAACCACTGGGGTCTTGGAAATGCTTTTCTTAAATTTCAATTTTCTTTCCCATGAAATAAATATATTGATAGTAGACATCACCACAGGGCATTTGAAAGGATGAAATGCGGTACTTGCAAATTAAATTCAACAATATCTGGAGTAAAAAGTAGCTCACAACCCCTCCCCTCACTATCCACAGATTTGGTTTTTGTGATTTCATTTACCAGTGGTTTGAAAAATAATAAATGGATAATCCCAGAAATAAGTAATGCATAATAAATTTTAAGTGCATTATTAATTTATATTGTTATAATTGTTCTATCTTATTAGTCATGTTATTAACCATTTAATGTGATTAATTTATAAATTGAACTTTTTTGTAGGTATATGTGTATATACAGAAAAATGTATATAATGTTTAGTATCATAAGCAGTTTTACTCATTCCTGGGTCTTCTTGGAATGTATGCCTGGCAGACATAAGTGTTTGTCTTATTTTTGTTCCATTGTAACAACTGACATCATTCTCATAATGCTGTACTCAATAATCTCTTGTGAGGCCAATTTTTTCTCTCTTAATTCCCTAGTACTTCTTTACAGGAAATTTTTATGCACTTTTTTATTGTCACTATCTATTATAAGTTAGACTTGACTTTTGCTTTGCCTTACATACTAAAATCTGCTTAAGTGAGGGATCTAATCTTACTTATTTCTATACTACTACTAATAACATATAATAATTTCCAAATATATGTACAGATATATAATAAATTAACACATGAATGAAAATGATTTGTCACTAATATTTATACATCTTAACCTTTTTTAGACTTTAGTCTTCTAAAAGCTACCTGTTTTTCTAATTATATAATTGTTATCTCTGTATTAATATCCTTTATATGTTTATACAAGGATGTCTCAAATACCTTATGTTTATTTCTAAACAGGAATCATTTTTTCTGTTTTGATATTTGTTCCTCAAATTTGTTTAAAGCATCACTCACTCTTTGTCTCAATTTTGTTTTTAAGAATTATTTAAAGAAAATATTTATAATATTTGAAAAATAAGTAATTTATATATTGTTTTCCTATTAAATGACAGTATTTATAACATGCTTGTCTTCAATAGCATCCTTTATTTTTTGAAAGGCTTAACAATAGAAAATTTTTTAACATAAGAAATTTAATGTTTGCTCTAATTTTGGCATTTACATCAAACTAATACAAATTCAGTAGTACATAGAACTTTTGACTGCATTGAAAGATTTTAAAGATGGTATACTAAAGAGATTTTGAAAGTTCTATATGGGTAGGCATTAAGAATTTTATTCTTCATGATATAGCTAAGAAAAAAGTGTAAATCAAGCTATTTTTGTGCAGCTATATTGAGGGAAACTATTGAAATTAGAAAAATGATTTTCAGAAACAAAATTTTAATTCTTATAATTACCATCTGCCAAAGAACTTGTGAATGGAATACTTTATTTTATTTTATTTTTTCCATTAAGTTTATTCATACATTTTAGGAATACAATACAGTTACACTCATCATTGGGATCTTGTACCTTTACATGATGTGCCTTGGTTATTATTTTTTTCCCCCTTGTACAGCAGTTTGTTAAAAACAAAATTATATCTTTTAGAGGGCAGGGCAAGTAAAATATGTTTCAAAAGATTACATTTGCTATACAGTACTGACTTTTTTTCTGATGCCAACTTAAAAAAAGAAATTTTAAAAAATTTTAGTGAAATATTTATGGAATCTGTCATGACATTTTACTTAGGTCAGGTGCTCACTCATTGTAGCATGGTCATAAACAAGGACAAGTTTTACTTTTCATTTGGAACTCTACTCTCAGTCTAAAGAAACACAGAGAAGTTTCATT